TTATGGAATTAAGAGATTCTGCACATCGTAAATTCAAACTATCTAAAAATGTTGCTGATTGGGAATATTACCGACAGCTTCGTAATTACTGCGTAAGTGCAATCAAAAAAGAAAAAAGAGCCTATCTTTCACTAATTAATAAAAATAAAAATGATAAAGTGCTTTGGAAGACGTTGAAACAACTTAACATAAAAAACAATCAAAATACAGATATTCCTTCTAATCTTAGTGACGTTAATAAAATAAATGACTATTTTCTTTCTGTTTTTAATTCTTCTGAGCCGTGCAATGAAACCTTAAGGTACTACTTAGAAAATAGATATAAAGAAGGAATCTCTTTTACTTTTCGCCTTCCAACTTGTGATGATATATTGGATWCAATATCAAAACTTCAGTCTAACGCAACGGGTGTTGACGGCATTAATGCTAAAATGATCAAATTATGTTGTCCGTTTATTATTAAATATATCACTCATATTATTAATTGTTGTCTTGAGTCTGGTTCCTTCCCGGCTCATTGGAAAACCACACTTGTAACTCCCCTACCTAAATTGACTAACCCTAAAAAATACAGTGACCTCCGACCGATAAGTCTTATACCTACAATGTCTAAGATTTTAGAAAAAATTATTTATAATCAAATCATAGAATATGTTAACCACAATCAAATTCTTTCTCCTACGCAGTCTGGCTTTCGAAACTCTTATAGCACCAATTCATCCTTAACACATATTTTAGATAATATTATTAGAAATAGAGATGAAGGCATGTGTACTGCTCTAGTTTTACTCGATTTTTCTAAAGCCTTTGACACGATTAACCACTCACTGCTTTGTGCCAAACTTGTCTTTCTTGGATTTGATTATTTGTCAGTAAACTTTTTTGCTTGTTATTTAAAAGATCGTTTTCAGAAAGTAATTTTTAATAACCATGTATCACATTCAGGACTAGTCTCGTCTGGGGTTCCTCAAGGCTCGGTCCTGGGGCCTCTATTATACTTATTATATACGTTTGATATTTCCAATGGCATCAATTATTGATTGTACTATTCATTCCTTTGCTGACGATACCCAGCTCGAATTCAAATTTAATATTCACACCGTTGCTGCTGCTAATGATTATATAAATCATGATTTTGACTCAATTGCTCGTTATTCAGAAAAACACAATCTAAAACTCAACTCTGATAAATGCTCTATATTATGTTTCAGTTCTAAATACGACCTAACTTTACTAAAATCCACTATCAATATAAGAATMMGTGATGTATCTATTAAACATGTCGATAATACCAAAATTTTAGGAGTAATATTTGACAATGATTTACGCTTCAAAAACCATGTTCATTTAATAGTGAAGAAATGTTACTTTCGTTTGAGGCTTCTTTACCTAAATTACCATATAATAAACTACAAACTACGCAAAAAACTCTCTGAAACTTTAGTTCTATCCGTAGTTCGGTACTGCCTAAATGTTTACTTTCCCTGTCTAGATAGCAATTATAAGAATCGCCTTCAACGCATACAAAATACTTGTTGTAGATTTATATTCAAACTGCGTAAATATGATCACATATCCTCTAAGCTAAATGAGTTGCAATGGTTTAATCTCGATTTGTTATCCAAATATCAGTTACTTGTTAATGTTCACGTTGTTCTTAAAACCACTTCTCCTCCCTACCTTTGTGATAAACTATTATATAGGTGTAATTT